GCAATCCCGTCACTAAATTTCTTTACTACTAAAAATCAGTTTTATTATCACTATTTTTGATTTATAAATAAAATACATCATTGCTAATACATTTCTTTATTGCAATAAAATCGTACAAAAAATACTAAAAACCTGTAAAATTATTAATTCCTTTATTGTCAGTAAATCCATTTTTTTTTTGCAAGATATGCATTCAAAACAAATAAGTCCCTTTAAAGCCAGGAAGATTTTTATTACCACAGTGTTTTTATTCCCAGTAGGTATTCTGCGGGTTCGGGTTTACCATCAAATGTGAATGCGTTGCGAGTATGACGCTCACCATTTTTTCTCGTTTCGTTGGAGTCAATCCCACTCTGAATGCACTTAAGCGGCAATAAGAGTTCGAAACCTTCCGGAAACATTCCACTGAAGTTTTGCTTCCCGCACAGCGATGCTATAAACTCTGCCAGAGCACCGGGTAGTCTAATGTGTGACTTTTAGTGAGTGAGAGAAAGAGAGAGAAGAGAGAGAGAGAGAGAGAGAGAGAGAGAGAGAGAGAGAGAGAGAGAAGAGAGAGAGAGAGAGAGAGAGAGAGGAGAGAAGAGAGAGAGAAGAAAAGAGAGAGAGAAAGAGAGAAGAGAGAGAAGAGAGAGAGAAGAGAGAGAGAGAGAGAGAGAGAGAGAGAGAGAGAGAGAGAGAGAGAGAGAGAGAGAGAGAGAGAGAGAGAGAGAGAATTGCAGGCTCTACACTGTCTCCTCAGTGATTACCTTCATGGTAGATCTCTAAGTGTAGTTCTCAATGGAACGGAATCAGCAAGACATCCTACTGGGGCAAGTGTTCCACAAGGAAGCGTGCTGGGACCATTGTTATGGAATGCCTACCTTCTTCATCTCATCCCAGAATCACATGCATATGCAGACGACTGTACACTGACATTCACTTATCCAAGAGAAGAAATGCCAGCTGCTCTAAGCTACATCAATCACCAGCTGAGAGCTATATCAGCTTGGGGAAATAGATGGCAAGTAACATTTGCACCTGAGAAAACGCAAATGATGATCGTCTCTAGGCACCATGATGGTAATGCTGGTGCAGTAGTAAGGATGAATGGGAGGGTGTTGGCACCTGGAGAAGAAGTTGATATCCTTGGGGTGAAATTTGACTCAAAACTGACCATGAAGAACCATGTTGTAAATCTTGCAAACAAGGCAGCCAGGAAGCTTACAGCACTTCGCCGTATCTCACATTTGCTTGACAGTAGGGGTTGCAAGATTCTGTACGAGGCACAAGTACGCTCACACCTTGAGTATGCTCCACTTTCTTGGTTTGCCTGTCCCCCCTCTCATCTGCGACTGCTTGACAGAGTAGAGAACAGAGCAAGACGTCTCATCTCTCGCCTGGACCCATCCTGGATAGATCTGTCATTTCAGCAGAGCCTTCAACATAGGAGGGATGTGGGTGGCCTTACTGTTACGTACAAGGCCAATATTGTCAAAGTACCACACTTGGATCCACTTCGAGGACAGCGTGAAACAAGCTTTTATGCCACAAGACGGACAGAAAGCAGCAACTTCACTCTGGCTGTACCCTTCTCCAGAACATCACTCCATCTGAGATCATATATACCCAGGATGACTCGAGTATGGAACACATTCGTACAGCATAATGATGTCAACGAGATAAAGTCAGTTGATCAAATGAAAATGCTGGCCCACAGATGGCTCCAACTTCATCCTGTTCCCTACTTGTACGTCTCATAACAATAAAAATGCTTTCAAATGAGCTGATGTAGGTAACAGCTCTTAGCTTGCCAATAAAGTTAGGAATCCTTAACCTGTAAATAGCTTGTCAATAAAGCTAGGGATCCTTAACCTTGCCAAACCCTGTGTAACAAAAAAAAAAAAAAAAAAAAAAAAAAATAAGAAGAGAGAGACTCTTGTGTGTATATGTGTGGGGATGTGTGAAACTGGGTTGGGGCTATTGATTGATATTTTTTTTTTTCCTAGGAAAAGGTTTAGTTTGTGTTTGCTGTGAGAGTAATAAGAGAAGGAACGGCTTTCACATGGAGTCGTCATTCACACGGGGTCGTTACTCTCACAGGGTGGTCACTCATCAGTCTTGTCAGATACTACACACTGGGTTATCGCTGTTCTGACAGACTGATTCGTTCGTGCATATACGGAATTATGTGTTTGCTCAGTAATATTTTGCCTCGAAGGGTAATGTTGGACAGTGCCACTCATCCTGAGGGTAAACATGCTGAAATAAAGACAGTGCTACTCATAGTGTGAGTGAATATTCACATATTACCATCAGCACCTCTCAACTTGTGAAGTACCTTACTAAGATTACAATAACATAAATATAGTATTAGAATTGTTCTGTTTTTTCATGTGAGAGATATTAACCATCCAAATGATTTTCAAAACGTAGAAAAAGTTGCATCAAGCAGGTCCATGGTTGAGAGAAATATAACAGAATCAAACTTCACAAAAAATAGTTTTGAAAGTAATATGAATATTGGTTTAGGATTGTACAAATTAAACTCATTTATAACTAACAGAATTTTGAAGAATTTAAGATATATTCGACAAGTTAAAATCTTAAAGCTTGGGTAGAATATAAGCTATGTCTGTCAGGTCCTTGACCACCTCACCCGCATCATCATAAAAGGTTTGTGTTGTATGTTGACCGTGAAGTGTATTCTCGCCCTTATATGCCTTCTGCCAATCTTTTATTTTATAGTTCCTAGATAATGTGAGAGGAGAAATCACGAAAACCCTTTGAAGTTCACTATTCTTCTTTTTTCACAATGGTTGTTCTGCACACAAATATATATATATATATATATATATATATATATATATATATATATATATATATATATATATAATATATATATATATATATATATATATATATATAATTATATGTCGTGCCGAATATGTAAAACTGGTTAATTAGCAATAGCTCATTTAAAATTAAGTCCTTTCTAAAATTTTCTCTTATACGCTTAAAGATATATTTTTTTCATTAATGTTAATGTAAAAAAATTTAATTTTGCTCCAAAAGAATCTTAGAAAACTTACCTAACCTTATTATAACAAGAAAAATTTATTTTAGCCTAACCCAACTAAATATATTTTAGATTTGTTTACAATAATTTAATACTAAACAAACACAGTGAAATATATTTTTTTCGTTAGGTTCAGAATGATTTTGGCGAAATTATTGCATACACAAATTTTTGCTAGTCCTATATGGCAAGATGAGCGTTGCTATTTAAGCCAAGATCGCAAGTTCTGCCTATTCGGCACGACATATATATATATATATATATATATATATATATATATATATATTATATATATATATATATTATATATATATATATAATATATATATATATATATACATACTAAAATAGCTTAAGCCGTTTAATGGCCATTCAGAAAAGCCTAAATCAGTCTCTAGCCAGTGATGTTTCCTGTGGCCTTCAGTATGACCGGTGTTGTCATTTGTGGCTTCCAGTGTGACTTCTTGCGTTGTCTCCTGTGGCAACATGTGTGGCAAGTGCAAAGGGGTTTCAATCCGATCCTGCTCCAACATCATCCCCAACTCCATCCGCAAGGAAAATCACAAACCAGTCCCATCAGCCAAGAGGAGTGGGTCGTACAGGACCCCTAGCGAGTGCAGTGGCGAGGGTACTGATGAGGGTAGTGGCAACGGTAGTAGTGAGGATATTTACGAAGGATGGTGGTGATGGCGACGAGGGTAGTGGTAAATGGCGAGGGTAGTGACGACTGGCGAGGGTAGTAGTGTGGGAGGCAGCGAGGGACAGGTTCCACCAACTCTTCAGTGTGTCTGGCGGCATCGCCAGTTGCGGAGCGGAGCATAGGTCGTTGACGCTCAGGGAGAGCGAGAGAGAGAAAGAGATAGAGGGGTCCTCCGTCGCGTGCGGAACACTTGCTGCGTCAGGCGGTAATCTTCCCCTTCCCGTCTACAGGGTAGAGGTTTTTCCTGCTTGTGCGAGGATACTGGCTGATACATAATAAGTGATGTGTTAAGGCACGGAGAAAATTATTTGGAAGCATGGATCATTAGTTGTGAATGAAAACAGAATATCCTGTTGACCCACCTTGGTGATTCTGTCTTATTTCCTTGTAAGTAGATGTAAGAAATTATATATAAGATTAGAAATAGTTAATATAACTCTGGTGTTAGCGAAGACTGCGGACAAGTTTTCATTCGGTGATCAGAAAAATGCAAACATCTCTGCCTATTAGTGCCAGCAATCGGTTTTACAGTAAAGTCATCTTGGTTTTCTTTACGATGACGCAGAATTGTAGCGGTATCGAAGTGATTTGTTAAGGTGCTGTGGTGTGGACATCAAAGTCAAGCGGTGTCGTCGGAACTGTCTGCCAGGGCTAGTGGTCATCTCGCCAACATAATTTATGAAGCATCAAGAAGGAAGCCAGTGGTGGTAACATTCTTTCACTTTAAAGATGCAACGATCTGGTAAACCAAATGCGAGCTGTCTATGAAAATGGGGGAAGTGAGGGTAAAGTTGATACTAAAGCACTTAATGAAAAGAATATCTGATAACGTGAGTCATTAAAAGTGCAGTGAACATTATAAAATTAACAGCCGTAAAAAAATATTAGAAAAACGTCTTTTCAGATGAAAGATACGAGTTCCTTGAGAAAGAGCATCTTCATGAAGGATTCACAGGTAACATGAAGATCCTAGACGTTAAGGAGTTTAGTTTAATAGCTTTGTCATGCACCCCATAACCATCCTACGGGGGGTTGTCAAAAGATTACAGAGGCATGAAAATGTGTCTAGGGACTGGAAGGAAACACTGAGGCTTCACCATCACCTGAGGTACAGATGTGGTGGCTGGTGATACACTCAGGTACTGGAGGGAGTGATTTAGACAACAGAGTCATCCTTCGCCTTAAAAACTGTGCACCACAGCACCAAGCTCATCAATCATACTGCCGCACCATCCTCGCTAGAAGGTAAGAATGACAAATATCCTGGAATTTATACATTATATATATATATATATATATTATATATATATATATATATATATATATATATATATATATATATATATATATATATATATATATTTATTTCTGTAAGGGTTTTGCTGACGTTGTTGTTGATGCTCATGGATCAACCTTTTAAGACTAATATTGCATTTATTCTTAGTAGACCTGTGAAGATGACAATATTATTATTATTATTATTATTATTATTATTATTATTATTATACTAACATTATTAATGTTAATAGTATTAGCTGAAAATTAACAATAAAATGTTATTAATAATAGTACTAGTGTAATTTTCATTTATTTATGAACATAAATTTTTTCTAGTCATTTCGATTCATCTTAAACCGTCTCCATTGACACCTGTTATTGGGACACTTATATCTGTTGCTGAGACGTTTATCACCACACAGTCTTCCGTAATAATTTCTTAACAACATTAACTCACATGCAACACAAGTCCCTGTATAAGAAGATTCAAGGACAAGTCTCCTAACACTGAAAAAAATGTATCTCTTAATCTGTAAAACAAATTTTTGGATAAGTTCAATTGTTAAAGGAGTACGGCCTATTAGGCCGACTGTCAGTCGACCGTCGTGGATCGAATCCTTAGAAATGGCATAAATTATTTAGTGCCAGGCTTTGAAAAAGTGAAATGTGGGTGAAAAACAAATACAAATACTAAGCATCAATATATATCACTGAGATTTATGGGATCGTCGGGCTCAATTTTATGCCAAAGGCAATATATATATATATATAATATATATATATATATATATATATTATATATATATATTATATATATATATATATATATATATATTATATATATATATATATATATATATATATATATATAATATACCCGCATACCTGAATCTAAGAAAGTCGACTAGATGTGCCGCAATATATAATTTTATCTGTGTGTGTTGTTTGTCTTGGCATTATACATTGTCATATTTTCAGTTTCAAGTTCCAAATTCCTTTATTTCATTCATTTTAGCGCATTCTTGGTACAGTAAACAGTTTTATCTCGCGTCAGTAGCAGTGGTTCCTGTATTGTTAGCGTTGTATAGCTATTAATTTATATAACTGTACCAAAGTTATGTCTTGTAATGTAAAATGTTTTGCACTGATATCTTAAAAGCTAATTAATCTTGCTCGATGTATTTGCATACCGAGCGATAACTGTCAGTAGTATTACTGAATTCCTATGTAATATACTTGTGTACCATATCGTAAGGTGTATCATCCATATTATATATAGGCTCCCTGTCCAGCTAGGTTCAAGTGGCTAGCATGTGACGTCACGCAGTGGCGCATGTGAGCGCTTGCCCGCAGGCCTCCTCTCAGTTCCAGTATAAGCATAAGGCGAGACAGGTAGGCCGGGCTATACTCCCCTCAAGACTGCCAATATACGTGTCATCGACCAACCAGCGAGTGTATTCTTTCTCTTACATCTCCGTTAAGTGCCCACGCGATATAACTTTTAGTTTCAGATCTCTCATACACTGAACAATAATGTCTTCGAAGCACACTCCAAGGTGTTAATTTCCAAGAATTTATCAAGAGATGGAAAATGACTCAGTTGTTCAACATCAAGACGTTAACGCTGTGGGTCCAGACTTTCTGCGGATGCGAAAAGTTTATTACTGGCTTCAACAATGGTAGTGTAGAGACATTGGTTATGTTCAAGACTGCAGAAATGCCAATAAGATAGGCCAACTTAACGAAATGACAATTTCCTCAATAAGACTAGAAGAAAATGGTTCTTGCTCTCGAGAAAGGCTGCAAGTTTGCTCAGCTACTCGAAAATACAGTGGAATGCCTTCCCTTGGGACAGTCATCAGGGAGCTGTGAAAACAGAAGCCTTAAAGATTTATCTTCGTCTTCTTCACACTACCTTGTTTACACCCTGGAGTTAGCTGACCTTAGGTTAACAAAGGTCGACTGCAGCTTTGACGTCAATGCATGCGAATTCTGGTTCCGTAGGAATCGTCTTCGAAGAAAATATAATATATATATATATATATATATATATATATATATATATATAATATATATATATATAATATATATATATATATATATATAATATATATATATATATATATATTTTCAACAAGTCGGCCGTCTCCCACCGAGGCAGGGTGACCCAAAAAAGAAAGAAAATCCCCAAAAAGAAAATACTTTCATCATCATTCAACACTTTCACCACACTCACACATTATCACTGCTTTTGCAGAGGTGCTCAGAATACAACAGTTTAGAAGCATATACGTATAAAGATACAGAACATATCCCTCCAAACTGCCAATATCCCAAACCCCTCCTTTAAAGTGCAGGCATTGTACTTCCCATTTCCAGGACTCAAGTCCGACTATATGAAAATAACCGGTTTCCCTGAATCCCTTCACTAAATATTACCCTGCTCACACTCCAACAGATCGTCAGGTCCCAAGTATCATTCGTCTCCATTGACTCCTATCTAACACGCTCATGCACGCTTGCTGGAAGTCCAAGCCCCTCGCCCACAAAACCTCCTTTACCCCCTCTTTCCAACCCTTTCGAGGACGACCCCTACCCCTCTTTCCTTCCCCTATAGATTTATATGCTTTCCATGTCATTCTACTTTGATCCATTCTCTCTAAATGACCAAACCACCTCAACAACCCCTCTTCTGCCCTCTGACTAATGCTTTTATTAACTCCACACCTTCTCCTAATTTCCACACTCCGAATTTTCTGCATAATATTTACACCACACATTGCCCTTAGACAGGACATATATATATATAGGTAATCAGAAGTTCTGTACTCGTGTTATTACGCCAGTAAACTTTCCCACCACAAGTACCGTTACATCAGGCTTACCAATACTGTAAAAAGTACTGCAACTAGAAACAACTTTAGGAGAAAGCACTCCTCAGTAATTGGAAAATAAATTCCCTGAATGTTGCAATCCTCCAGCTGAATATCATTTATGATAAATTTGCATATGTTACAGCTGACAACTGACATTCTTGATGAGACCTTGAATGGAAGGAACACCTTCAATGCAACACAGATTTTATTGTGGCAAAAAAAGCATTTCGTGAGGAGGGGGGTGCCTAAAGACTAGTTAATGGCTCTTAATCCTAGGAACTGGAGCACTCTGCAATTATGATATTCATAACGCTTCAAAAAAAAAAAAAAAAAAAAAAAAAAAAAAAAAAAAAAAAAAAAACAGGCACGCGACAATTGCCTTAATACAGTGAAGCCTTTTCATAACAGTGTTGTTACCTAGTTGAACAGAGAAAATAAGGGGTGATTAACCTACAGAGGGATCCAGTGTGTCAAGGTATCAAGGAGCGATGACTCGCCATCCACCACTCCAGGAGTGTTGTAGGCTCTATCCTCCGAAAGCTAATCGCGCGAGATAGACGCTTCTCTCACAGCCAAACTATAAAAGAGAAGACTGGATAAATAACAAAAAAGGGACAATACTGTGATTGGAACGATACACAAATAACCCGCACATAGAAGAGAGGAGCTTAAGACGACTTGGACTTTGTAAATGGTCCAAGTCGGACCGAAACGTCGTCGTAAGCTCCTCTCTTCTATGTGCGGGTTATTTGTGTAAGAATCGATAGAAAAAATTTGGCTGGACAGTGTTTAGTGAGCGTGTTTCACGTCATGATTGTGAGTAAATATCAGTAGGCAATGTTTACCCCATTCCATTAATTGGACATGCCACAGTAATGTATGGGGATATGCTGGCACCCGGGACAGGAGTACGCTGCCATTATGTGTTCATGTTTCCCACAGTCATATACTCAGCTTTTAGGTATGCAGCATTCAGAAGTTCAGCTTTCTACCTCAGGTGTGGCCTAATTAAGGTGTGACCTAGCTGAGGTGTGGTCGAGATGATGTGTAGCCTAGATGAGGTGAGGTTTAGTTGGCGCGTGAACTGGAAGAGGTATGACCTAGCTGAAGTGTGGCCTAGCCGAGGTGTGGCCTAGCCTAGGTGTGGCCTAGCCGAGGTGTGGCCTAGCTGAGGTGTGGCCTAGCTGAGGTGTGGCCTAACCGAGGTGTGGCCTAGCTGAAATGTTCCATACCGCTTTTATTGTCCACAAAATACTGTACATACTTCTGGCTTTCCAATTGTTATTTGTTCATATAATTTATTTTTTAAATAAAAATTTGATTTTGATTTAAATTTTTGATGTCGGTACTTTATACCTTTTCCACTTAGAACATCCTATGAGCTGAAAAACACTGAGTAGCCTAATGTAAAAAAAAATCATTTTCCATTTGAGGGCGTTGATGTTTGATGGAAATTTAATGTTACGCACAGAATTAAAAGTCTGGAGTCTCGTTTCATCATTCAAACTCGCTTGTGCCTCTTTTAAAAGGCTGATGTTTTCCCCTAAACCATTTTTTTTTATGTTTATAGGCTTTTAATATATTTCGTCCATGAGAAGTATTGAGTTAGTAGGATTTGCAACGAAGTATTTTCCTTCAGTGTCGCATAGTCAGTGCAAGCGCCGATTGCAGAACCAGACGCACAATCAGGCAACTTGGACAATGTTATTTGGTGTTCTGTCCACAACAGGGAGCCATCTAGGGGTTCTTGGTCAAAGGAACTGGGTTTGACCGAAATGCTCTGTGTAAAAAGGTCACCCAACTCTCTATAAACATTGTATCATACTGAAATAAATTATTATTATTATTATTATTATTATTATTATTATTATTTATTATTATTATTATTATTATTATTATTATTATATCTCTTTTCTCTGGATCAAGTTGCTCTTTGTCTCCTATTTTCCAGGCGTTGTATGACTCGTACGGGTTTAGCGGCTCAAATATATAATGCAATATAATATAAAGTGATATTAATGACATTTGGGATAGAGATTAAACTAGTAGTGATACATTTGAGCGTGTGTGTTTGCTTGTGTATGTGTGTGA